ACGATTTTTTGGTGTGTACCGTCAAATCGGATCTGACTGGTACAGGAGCTTGGTCCTCCTTTTCCAGCAGAACATCTGGTAGATTTGAATGTCTATCTCTGGGATTGCAGTGCAGCTTCTTGCCACTAGATCACCAGAGCTTCTTCCTTCCTTAGTTTTTTATATTAGTGGTCTTACACCCTAATTAGGGAGCTCTGGTAGCCTAATGGTAAGGAACTGCACTGCCAACCTGCAGGCACCAGGTAAATCTGCTAGCTACTCCACAGGAGAAAGATGGGTATAGTCTCCTCCCATGTGATTTAAGTGCATCTGCAAACCCACTGGAGGGTCAGCTATGAGTCTGTTCTGACTCAATGGTACTTAACAACATACAGTAATGGTCCTTTTGAGACTTGATTTTGCCACTCAGCATAATTTGTTTAAGATTCATCCATGCTGTGCAGTATTTCATGAATTCTTTGTTGTTAAGTGCCGTCAAATTGAAACTTACTCATAGCTGATCATTGAGTGGGTTTTCAGAGGCTCTAAGTCGCATGAGAGATGACTGGTTTTTCTTTCCCAGAACTGCCTGCCAGTGGATTCAAACCATGAGCCTTTGGATTGGCAGTGCAACTCCTTACCCCTGGTTTTTTTAGTGATGCTTTGTATGATTGTATCATATTTTTTAAGCCATTCTTCTGTTGATGGACACTTGAGTAATTTCCAACTCCATGATAATGCAGATAATGCTGTAATAAATGGGTATGTGTGTATGTCTGCTTTGCAGCTTTTCTTTCTTTCTTTCTTTCTTTCTCTGTCTACCTGTAGTGGGATTGCTGGGTCAAACACTACTGGGTAATGTACTGGGTATTTTTTCCCCCAGCTTTGTAGGAAAGTGCCAAACTGTTTTTTAGAGTGGTTGTAACCTTTTATAGAGTCACCAGAGTCCCATTCACAGCAGTCAGCATTATTAACAAATGTTTGCTGGCTTACTAAACATTGCTTTTTTTGCTGGGGAAAGATCTCTCTTTGTTGTTTTGATTTGCATTTTTTTTTTTTTTTTATTTGCATTTCTAATAGTGAATGTGGGAGCTCTGGTGGTTTAGTGATAAGGAATTGTGCTGTCAATGCAAAGGTAAATGGTTCAAATCCACCAACTGCTCTGTGAAAAAAGAAGAGCAGTCTGCTTCTATGCGAGTTACTGCCTCTGAAAACCCACTGGAAGGTCAACTGTGGGTCAGTTCTCACTCAGCACACAATAGCTTATGAGGGAGCTATAGTGGCATGTTATTGTTGTTGTTAAGTGCCGTTGAGTCATAGCAACCCTATGAAGGAGAGTCCTCAACACTTATAGTGGCATAGTCTATAGGAAAGTGCATTGCTAACCCCAAAATCTCTGCCAAGTTTGAATCCACCAACGGCTCCACAGGAGAAAGATGAGCAGTCTTGTGTGATTTATGGCCTCCCCAAAATCTGCTGTGGTCAGCTATGAGTCAGTTCCAACTCTACCGCAGTGAGTTGTGAATAACTAATGATCTTGAGCATTTATGTGTTAATTGGCCATCTGTATGGTGGTTGTTTTTCTTTTACGTCCAGTATGTCCTCTGTCCTTTTTGTAATTTGGTTGAATTTTTTCCTTGTGGCAGTATTAGTTTTCTACAGATTTTAGAAATGAGTACTTATTAGTTGTTTCATTGCCAGTATTTTTCAATCTGTAGTTTCTTTTTTAAAAATTTTATTATTTTGTGTGTGTTTACCGTCAAATCGGATCTGACTGGTACAGAAGGAGATTGCCCCTCCTTCTCCAGCAGAGCATCTGGTGGATTTGAACTGTGTACTTCTGGGATTGCAGTGCAGCTTAGTTTCTTTTTATTCTAATATAGAAGTCTTTTGATGCACATAAAGATTTAATTTTTAGGAGGTCCCAGTAATCTATTTTATTCTCTGTTGACTCTGCATTTAGTTTTATTTGATAATCTGTTTATGCCACTGTAAGGGCTTCTAAATTTGCCCCAGTTTTTATTTTGATCTTTATACTTTTAGAATTTATGCTAAATTAGTTTTTGTACATGTTGTGAGCTATGAATCTTACTTTTGTTTTCTGCAACTAGATACCCAGTTTTCCTAGCACCATTTGTTTTATAGGCTCTCTCTCCCCCACTTAATGGATTTCCTCTTTGTCAAAGATCAGTATTCCTTAAATGGAAGGGTTCATTTCTGCATTCTCAATTCTATTCCATTGATTTAAGTACTGGCCACTGTATTAATACCAAGCTGTTTTGAATATCAGGTTTTGAGCAGGATGCTGTCACTTTTCTTATCTTTCCTTTCTAGGCAAAGTTGGTGATTACTCTTTCCATCTCTTTGCAAAATGAATTTGAGATCCTGGGTTGGGACTGCAGTCAATGTCTAGTTTGCTTTTGGTAGTAGAGAACATTTACTCAGGGCCTTAGTTAAGGCTCCTAAAAAGTTGGTGAAATCCACCGACCTTTGGGGAGAAAAACCTGCTAATCTGTTTCTGTAAAGATTATAGCCTAGAAAACCTTATGAGGCAGTTCTACTCTGTTACAAAGGGGTTATCAGATCAAACAGACTCGACAGCACCTCACAACAAAACATTTATTGGATTTATCTCATTCTTTTTAATGACTACATGGTGTTCTAGTGAGTAGATGAACCATAATTAATTTAATCAGTTCTCTCTTTTCAGTTTTTAGTTATCATAAATATTGTGACAAAATAAATATTTTATTGACATTGGTTTCTATAAATGGAATAACTGTCTTAAAGGGTTATGTTTGAAACTTTGCTAGCTATTGCCAGTTCTAAAGAGGCTGTATCACATTACATTCTCACTAGTAGGCCATGCAGTACTTGTTTCCCTATACCTTTGCCAATATTGTATTTCAGGTTTTGATGTTTGCCAATCTGATAGGTGAAAAATGATATGCTAATTTGTGATTCTTTAATTTTAGGTGAGATTTAGCATTTTTTTCCATGGCTTACATGTTAATTTTACCAGTGTTCTCTTGGGCTGCTTTCTTTTTCGTAGTTCTTTATAATTATTTTTCTCTGCCATTTATTGCCACTATGTTCCTCTCCTCTCCCTCCAACTGACTTCATTTTGTCATAGACAGGCTTAGGATGTTGTGGTCAAATCCAATTTTTCCCTTTCTTATATAGAAAATCCATCTTTTCCAGATTGCAAAAGAGTTTGCTTGTTTTTTAAAGTCTTTTATAGTTCCATTTAAAAATATTTTTAGTCTTTAATTGATCTAGATTCCCTTGATTTCTTTCAACAGCCCCATCTGTGACTTCTTAGAACTCCAGCGTCGTTACCGCAGCCTCCTGGTTCCCTCTGATTTTCTGGCTGTTCATCTGAGTTGGCTGTCAGCCTTCCCTCTGAGCCAGCCCTTTTCCCTTCATCATCCAAGCCGCATCCAGGTATCTTCTGAGAAAGAGGCAGCTCCAGACCCTGGTGCTGAGCCCATCCCTGTAGACAGTGATTCTGCATACAGTTCCAAGGTAAGTTGACTAAGGTCCTGTTTTACCTCCATGTTTGGAGGCTGATGACAGCTTCTGAGTGTGCTCCTTTGTGCTTTCTTTGCATAGGTTCTATTGTTGTCTTCCCCGGGATTGGAGGAATTGTATCGGTGTTGCACATTGTTTGCAGATGACATGGCTGAGCCAAGGGAGACACCAGAACACCCTTTGAAGCAGATTAAGGTAAGGACTAGAGACAAGATTTTCACTGGTAAAGCCCAGTTCCTATCAAGTTTTTAGCGGCTCTGCTCTTCATCATTGAACTCAAAAGAACAAGTTATCTCAGAGCCTTAATGCCCCTCATTTTACCCACAGGGGAATGTGGACCAGAGATGTTTTTACCTGTGGTAGATTCTGTACCACCTGATGCTGTATTAATTCCCGGTTAGTGGTACCTAGTTTTGCCATGGTTTCCCCCGCTGAGGTGTCACTAACCAGAAACTAATACGACATCATGTCAGAGATAAATAAGTGAGGAAAAATGAGTTGATTAATAGATAAAAAAGTCACTTCTAGATTCATCTTAAAATACAAAGTTGTGTCAGGATAATATCCATACACATACAAGGAAGTCAAGTGAATACCATTATCATTCAAATATATGCATCAACAACTAGAGCCAAAAAGGAGGAAATAGAAGATTTCTACCAACTTTTGCAGTCAGAAATCAACTGAACATGCAACCAAGATGCATTAATAATAATGGAATGCAAAAGTTGGGAACAGAGAAGAAGGACCATAGTTGGAAACATGGACTTGATGACAAAAGTGAAACTGGAGATAAAAATGATAGAATTCTGTACATTGAATGACTTACTCATTGTAAATACTTTTTTATAAGAAACAAATGCAGACTATACACATGGATTTCACTTGATGGTATGCATAGGAATCAGATCTATTACATCGGGAAAGAATTGCTGGAGAAGCTTACTATCAGCTATGAAAACTAGGCCAGGTGCTAATTGTGGAACAGACTACCAGCTACTCATAGGAAAGTTCAAGCTGAAGCTAAAGAAAATTAATCTACAGGAACCAAAATCAAAACCATCTCAGAAACAGGTTTGAGGTCTTGGACACTAATGAGCAAAGACCAGATGAGCTGTGAGAGGATATCAAGATTATCATCCATGAAGAGTGCAAAAGATCATTACAAAGGCAGAAGAGGGAAAAAAGACCAAGATGGATGTCTGTCAAGACTCTGAATATAGCACTAGAATGCTGAGACGCTAACAAATCAAGAAATTAGGAAGTTGAACAGAAGATTTCAAAGGGCAGCGCAGGAATACAGAGCAGAGTATATTAATGAAATGTGTAAAGAGCTGGAGTCAGAAAATCCAAAGGGCTGAACTCTCTTGGCATTTCTTAAGTTGAAGGAACTGAAGAACAAATTCAAGCCTCAAGTTGTAATACTTAGGGATGCTATAGGCAGAATATGCAATGACCCAGTAAACTTTTAAGAATATGGAAGTAGTATACAGAATCACTGTACCAAAAGGAATTGGCTGACACAGAAGAATTTAATGAAAGAATGTATAAGCAAGAGCCTATGGTAATGAAGGAAGAAGTTCAAGCTGCTCTGAAAGAACTGGCAAAAAACAAGGCCCCAGGAATTGACAGCATACCAATTGACATATTTCAGCAAACAGATGCTGCCTAGGTGCAGTCACCAAGGTGTGCCAAGAAATGTGAAAAACCACCTGGCCAACTGGAAGAGATCTATATTTGGTCCCATTCCAAAGAAAAGTGACCTGTCAGAGCGTAGAAATTATCAAACTATATCATTAATATCACATGCAAGCGAGATTCTGATGAAAATTATCCAAGAACTACTGGAACAGCACATTGAGAGAGAACTGCCATATGTGCAGGCAGGGATTAGTAGAGGCAGTGGTATTAGGAATATTGTTTGTTGTTGTTGTTATGTGCTGTCGAGTCGTTTGCGACTCATAGTGACCCTATGCACAACAGCCCTAAACCCTGCTCTATCCTGCGCCAACCGCACCGCCTCTGACACACCCATCCCGATTACCCCAGTCACCGAATCAATCCATCTCATAGAGGGTCTTCCCCTCCTGCGCTGTCCCTCTCCAAGGACCCGTCCCTCCTGGCAACATGTCCAAAGTGTGTCAGACGAAGCCCCAGAATCCTTGCCTCCAAGGAGTAGCTTGGTTTAATCCTATCCAAGATGAATCTGTTTGTTTTCCTGGCAGTCCATGGTACATTCAGTACCCTTCTCCAGCACCACAGCTCAAAAGCATCCACTCTCCTTCTGTCCTCTTGGCTGAAAGCAGAGAGTACCAGGGGAATGTCTGTGTTTAATTGACTGTGTAAAGGCATTTGACTGTGTGGATCACAACAAACCGTGGCTAACTCTGAGAAGAATGGGACTGCCAGAACCTTTGATTATGCTTATGTGAAACCTGTACTTGAACCAGGAGGCAGTCATCAGAACAGAGCAAGGAAACACTGTATGGTTCAAAATTGGAAAGGGTGTGCACCAGAGATGTGTCTTATCTCCGTATCTTTTCAGTCTATGTGCAGAACAGATCATCTGGGAGGGTGGGCTCTATGAGGAAGAATGTGGCATCAAGATTGGAGGAAGACTCATCAACCACCTGCATGATGCAGATGACACAACCTTGCTTGCTAAAACTGAAGAGGACCTGAAGCACTTGCCACAGAAGGTCAAAGACTGCAGTCTTAAATATGGATTGAAACTCAGCATGAAGAAAACAAAGATTCTCACCACTGGGTCGATTGGCAGCATCATGAGACACAGTGAAGAGATTGAGACTATTAACAGCTTTAGTTTGCTTGGCTCCACAATCAATACTCTTAGTACCACCTGCTAGGAAAAGCAAAAGACAAATTGTATTGAGAAAGTGTGCTGTCAGAGACTTCTCCAAAGTACTGAAGAGCAGTGATGTCAGTGTGGAGACTAAGGTATGCCTGATCTAGGCCATGGTCTTTGCAGTTACTTGCTATACCTCAGAAAGCTGGTCAGTTATTAGGGATGATACGAGAATTGATGCTTTTGAGCTGTGATGCTGGAAAAGAGTACTGAATATACCCTGGACTGCTAGAACAAATTTGACCTAGAGAGGTTGAAACCATGCTGCTTCTTGGAGGCAAGGATTCTGAACTTCATCTGACATACTTTGGATCTAGTCTTTGGAGGGGGACATCATGAGTGGGAGGGTGGAGGGAAAGTGTGGGAGAGGAAGACCCTTGATGAGATGGATTGATTCAATGACTGGGGTAGTGGGGGTGGGTGTGTCAGAGACAATGAGGTTGGCTCAGGATAGAGCAGGGTTCAGGGTTCTTGTACATAGGGTCGCTGTATGAGTCGCAGAAGACTCGATGGCACATAAAAACATCTGTTTTTGCAGTTTTTGCTGGGCCGTAAAGATGAAGAGGCAGTGCTGGTTGGGGGTGAGTGGTCTCCTTCTTTGGATGGCCTTGACCCCAAGGCCGACCCGCAGGTGCTAGTACGCACTGCCATCCGCTGCGCGCAAGCTCAGACCGGCATTGACTTGAGCAGCTGCACTAAGTGGTGAGTGAGCTTCCTTGAGCTCGTTAGTGACCAGCTCACTGAGCTGGTGAGACTTCGCTCATAAGGCTAAACATATGCTTCTTTTGGACCCTTCTTAGCTCTTTTTCCTAGTTACAGTTTACTCTTTCCTTTACCTCTTCAGCTGCCTCACAAATGGTAGCCTTGGCCATGAGCATGACTAGGTATTTGTAGGCCAGCTGTTTGGACTCATTAGTTGCAGCCTCAGCCATGCTCAGCACTTGGTCTTACTGCCTTAGCACTTTGTGTCATAATTGTTTGCTTACTTAAGTTTCCCCACTGACTAACCAATTCTAAAGACTTAATCTCGTTCTTTTCTTTTTTTTTTACTTTGAAAGCTTGGCATCCAATATATACTCACTAAATGCTGATTGGAAATTGAAGCTGTTGTTTGTGAATGTGCTTTCTGCATGAGTGAGTCATGGGCTAGCACTTCATTTTCCTTCTGCTCTGAGCAGGTGGCGCTTCACTGAGTTTCAGTACCTACAGCCAGGACCCCCACGGCGGCTCCAGACAGTGGTGGTGTACCTGCCAGATGTCTGGACTATCATGCCTACTCTAGAAGAGTGGGAGGCCCTGTGCCAGCAGAAAGCTGCAGAGGCGGCTGTGCCTTCTCAGGAGGCGCCAGTGGTAAGGCTGATCCTTCTGAAGAAAGCAGGGGAGGAGTGTCTGACCCCTGTGCCCAGATGGCCAGAGCTGCTTTCTTTTGTAGGAAACTGAGTCTTCTGAGCAGGCAATGGATGCATCAGAACAAACAGCAGACACCTCTAAACAGAATGCAGAGAATCCAGAGGTCACTGCACAGCAGGAAATGGACACTGATCTCCCAGAGGCCCCTCCACCTCCTCTAGAACCTGCTGTCATTGCACGTCCTGGCTGTATGAACCTCTCTCTCCATAGTATTGTGGAGGATCGGAGGCCAAAAGAAAGGATCTCCTTTGAGGTAGGTCTAGAGTCTTTGGGGAGATTATAGGTAGGAGGCATGGGATGATAGAATAATTTTTCCCTGGTGTGACATTCACTCATCCCCCAACAGGTTATGATACTAGCTGAGCTGTTTCTGGAGATGCTGCAGAGAGATTTTGGTTATCGGATTTATAAGACACTCTTGAGCCTTCCTGAAAAGGTCGTGACTCCACCTGAACCTGAGAAGGAGGAGGCAGCCAAAGAGGAAGCAGCCAAGGAGGAAGAAGTGGTCAAAGAGGAGTTAGGCAAGGAGGCAAAGGATGAAGTTCAGAATGAGAGAGCAACTGCTGAGCCAGACACCCCCCTGGTGAGCACCTTCACTAACCTGACAAAAGCAGCGCTTCTTCATGTGAGGACTGGTTTTGTATCCCACACTGTTGGAAACACTTTACATGTCTTAATTACTCCTCCTAACACCATTAGATACCAGCAAGCAGTACACCTGAGGGGAGGGAAGCCTGCATGACAAGCGATGGCAGTGCAGGTGTCCCAGTTAAAAGAATTCTTTCATTATGTGACGGTTAACAAGAACAATGCATTTTCTTAACTCTTCTTAAAACACATGGGCCGGTTTCTTGCCCAAGTACTTTTAGTAAGCATAATCTCTTATGGGGCTGAGATTGACTCTTGAGGAAAATCCTAGGTGTCTGGAGATCTCCCAAGTGTGCTGGGGTTTCCATGTAATTAAGTCTATTCAGTGAGAACGGTGCATAATATAGTGCCTGGAACATGATTCAAACTCATATGCTAGTAATGGAAGTGAACCTTTTCTTCATCATCTTGGTCTGCTTCTAGAAAGAAGATGGAATTTTGCCCAAACCTGCATCTTCTGGGGGAGAGGAAGAAGAGAAACCCCGGGGTGAAGCATCTGAGGACCTCTGTGAGATGGCTCTTGACCCAGAATTACTACTTCTGAGGGATGATGGAGAAGAGGAATTTGGTATGTTCAGTGGTGTTAAGAGGGATTATAGCGCTATGGAACTACAGCTTTAAGGGGTTTCTCCTGTGATTGTAGATTGAGTTTGGACCATGAATAGCCTCTGGTCTGTGCTTACCTTGGGCTTTCTGTAGCAGGATCAAAACTGGAGGATTCAGAAGTACGGTCCGTTGCTTCAAACCAGTCAGAGATGGAATTCTCTTCCCTTCAGGACATGGTGAGACCACTGTTCTACCTCTGTGGGCCTCCCAGATAGTGACTCGTAGCCAGGCTTCTGAGCCAGGCCTGGGAGATGAGTGCTGAGTACTGCATGAGCCTGTGCATTTACCAAGTAAGTGACTTGGAGCATAGTGGAGGCTGCGCAAGATTTCTCTTGACGGACAGAAAACGAAATGTGACTCTTGGTCTGACATTTCATAGTTCCAGACCATTGCAGTGGCTCCACTGGAAAACTTTGTTGGGGTTGAGCCAAGAGAAGACATATGTTGGGCATACTAAATTCCTGTGTCACAGCCTATGGGCTTTTTGTGAAAGAGTACCTAGATAAGTCACTGGCTATAGGCCTAGAGGCCCAGCCTGACTGACTCTAAATGGAAGGCGTGTTTGAATGGAATTGTAGAAGGGCTGTGTCCAGGTAACTTAACCACTCAGAACAATCTGTAAAGCCCTGCACATCCTTGTTTCTCTTGGCAGCCGAAGGAGCTGGATCCCTCCACTGTGCTCCCCTTGGATTGTCTTCTTGCTTTTGTGTTCTTTGATGCCAACTGGTGTGGCTATTTGCACCGGAGAGACTTGGAAAGGATCCTACTTACCCTTGGACTCCGGCTCAGTGCAGAACAGGTACCTTCCTCATTGCCAACACAGGTCTATTCGGAACTGGCCTCATCTCCATAAATATACACAGGCATGCACTTCAACTCGTTTGGGTAGAGCAAGGTATTTTAATAGTTCCAGGGTCTTGCATGTCACCAGGGCAAGACCTAGACTTTCTGACCAGTGTGTTTCTTGGGTGTATGTGTGCTCTAGGCCAAAGAGCTGGTCAGCAGGGTCGTGTCCCAGAACATTTGCCAGTACCGGAGCCTTCAGTATAGCCGCCAGGAAGGTGTGGATAGTGGACTTCCTGAGGAGGTGCTCTTTGGTATGTACTTGTACTTTGCAGCCTTGGGTGGAAAACGGGCAGAGAAGGCTTCTTTTCCTCTTAAAATCTTTTTTTTTTCTTAAATTTTTTAAAAATTCGTCATCTTTTTAATGACCCTTTCTAGGAAATCTTGATCTGCTACCTCCTCCTTCTGGGAAAAGCGCAAAACCAAGTGTTGCCTCTGTGGAACATAAAGGCCTGGTGTCCCACAACGGCAGCCTGATCAATGTGGGGAACCTGCTGCAGCGTGCAGAGCAGCAGGACAGTGGGCGGCTCTACCTGGAGAACAAGATTCACACACTGGAACTGAAGCTGGGTCAGTGGCCCGATGCTGCAGAACTTGGCATGGGATGGAAAAGATTGAAACTAGTGGCAGGAACTTGGGCCCTCTTTTCTGTTCTTCAGGTCTTATCTGAGTAGCTATCTTTTATATAGTGGGTTTGTTTTTTTTAAAAAATACATAAACCCTACTTTTTAATTCTCTCTTCCCTCAGAGGAGAGCCATAACCGATTTTCAGCCACTGAAGTAACGAATAAAACACTGGCAGCAGAAATGCAGGAGCTGCGAACACGGTTGACTGAAGCTGAGGAGACGGCCCGGACAGCTGAACGACAGAAGAACCAGCTTCAGCGGCTGCTACAGGACTTCCGAAGGCGCCTGACTCCCTTACAACTTGAGGTGCAGCGCATGGTTGAAAAGGTGAGGTTCAGGACAGCTGGGAGGGCACTGTCTGCAGTTCCTATGGGTAGGACTCCAGAAGCCACCCTCCACAAGTTGTTGGAGAGAGCTGTTATTTCAAAGAGAGTTGATTAGACATGAGAGCCATGAGGTTGCCCAAGTGCATCATGTCGCATTCCTCTTGAAACTTTTTATGGAATTAAGTCATCAGATAGTGCAAGTTTCCCTGATGGGAAGGATCTAATAGTTCTTAAACCTTGCCACTGGTTCTTCTTGGCAGTCCTAATTCTCTTTACATCTTGTTTCAGGCTGATAGCTGGGTAGAGAAAGAGGAGCCAGCACCTACCAACTGAGGGGCCTTGAACAGGAACTGCCATCCTGTGAGGTCAGCAATGGAGCCTGAGGAAGTTAGAGCCCTTTTGGTACCAGAAAGCTGCTGGAGCAGGACCTAGGAGCCATAGGCAGGGGGAGGCTGACCCCTGTGCTCAG